TCCCTTTAGCGTCTACACCTAATTATGATTAATTTAAAATTAATCATAATTAGGTGTAGATTGAGGATTCATAAACTGTGGTAAGACAATAATCTTTTATTCTAATAAGCCTGAGCTACTGAGGGTCTCCACTGTTGGTCAGTGACTTAAAAAACAAGAAATCCTGATGCTTCTGCAAGACTAACAAGAAAGAGACACTAACCCCAGAATAGTAAAGGCTCAAATTCATTCTTGCGCTCCAGTGATAATCTCTTTGAACTACTTACCAACTTGATCACATGATCAATGCAAGCAGCCCAACCTCAAGCTCCACCAGACTCTGACAGTAAATAAGTGGGCAGTGGACAGACTCCACCCTTTTGAGTCCAATGTGAAACTCTGAGTCTGACTAATGCACGTTTGTCTCTGCTCTTCTATTGGAATTCGGAGGAGTTTAGCTGCTGCATGGCAAGTCAGACCCTGGAGAAGTTTCTGGAGGGGGGAGTAGAGTATTAGAAAAATACACACAGGATGTATTGCATATTGAATGACGAGGCTCACAACACAAAAAAACATCACATACACCATACAAGTGCTCTTGAAAAAGCACTGCTGCAAATGTGGGGGATATTAGCCATTTACAAGACATTTGTCGAGAGTTTGTAGGATCAAGGCCTGCCTATCCCTAGGCTACTGTATGTAGAGTCCGTTTTATCCATGTTGGTGGATTTCAGCTTGTGAGGGCGGTGCCTCTTTTTCGACAGTATTTGTCTGTGTCATCATTTAAAAGACTGTTTCCCCTGACATACTCAGTGTGTTTTGAGGTTGTTGTTGTTTTTTAAGTTTATCTTAAAGCAGTACTCACTTGTTTATTTATACAATGAAAGATTTATTGTTGGCTGTAATCATTCCTCCTTGTAATATTGGCCATGGAGACAACCCTCTCTAATGTGATTCCAGTGTAAGATGGAGGAACAAAATCCACATATCCTAACAAATATTGGATTGTTGAGGCCCAGCTGATTTATCAGTCAAGCTTTAATTGACCTTGCTTTCTGTATAATGCATTCATACATTTAACTGAAGTGAATATGCTGCAATCTTAGTTACCCAAAAATGTCTTTCGTAAGTTACGGTTATTTTAGTGCAGAATTCCCTCTTTTCCTTGGAAATCCCGTGGATTTTGTCCTGAACAGGCAGTAACGCTGAAGCCTCAA